TTTGAGCATGACTAAGTTAAGGGAATGACTTTGATACCATATTAGGAATCACGACTCTCCACAATGGTATGATATTGTCAACTTTGAGCATAAGCTCTCATGGTTTTGCTTTGGGATTCCCCAAAATGCCTCATACCAATGGAGATGTATTCCTTACCTATAAACTCATGATCATTCCCTATATTAGCTAATATGGGACTCCCTCCCAACATCATCAACAGAGAGCAATATGAAGGTTGCCTTGACTGACCAGGGAAGGATCTAAGTGTAAAAATATGTTTAAATTGAAGCTATCATTTTCTTATAATGCTTTTCTAACTCTAAACCTTATGCAATTTAGATGCACAATCCGTTTTCGAAGAAATGAGACGAATTGGGATGACCCCAACAATGAAATCCTTCATGCTTCTTTTATCTGCCTATTCAAACGCTGGCAATGCAGCTAAATGTGAAGATATTATTGGTCAGATGCATAAATCAGGGCTAAAACCAGACACATTTGTGGTGAACAGCATGCTTAATCTTTATGGCCGTTTAGGTCAATTTGAAAAAATGGAAGATCTTCTTTCTACCATGCAAAAAGGACCATATAGAGCAGATATCAGCACGTACAACATCTTGATCAATGTCTATGGACGAGCAGGTTTCTTGGAGAGAATGGAGGAATTGTTTCAATTGCTTCCAGCAAAAAATTTAGAACCCGACGTTGTGACGTGGACTTCACGGATTGGCGCCTACTCGAGAAAGAAGCTTTACAAAAGATGCTTAGAAATATTTGAAGAGATGATTGATGCTGGTTGTTATCCAGATGGAGGAACTGCCAAAGTACTTCTCTCAGCATGCTCAAGTGTAGAACAGATTGAACAGGTTACAAATGTTGTTAGAACAATACACAAAGATGTGAAAACTCTATTGCCTGTCTGAATTCATAATCTTCTGCCCTGTTTGTACATTCTTATGTTCGAATAGGATTGAAGTTCATTGTGATCCCACGTCGATTGAGGAGGAGAACGAAACATTATTTATAAAGGTGTGGAAACCTCTTTGCAAATACGTTTTAAAAATCTTGAGGAGAAGCCTAAAAGGAAAAGTCCAAACAAGACAATATCGGCTAGCTACAAGCTTAAACGGTTACAAATGGTCTTGAAGGGAAGCCTGAAAGAGAAAGTCCAAATTAGACAATATAAGCGAGATATGGGCTTAAACACTTACAAATGGTGTCAAAGTCTGACACGGGGCTATGTGTTTTAAACTATGGTACTCATCAAACCAATGAAAAAAATAAAAAAAAGACATAATCTAAAAGTTTCTATTAAAAACTTTATAGAAAAAAGTTGAATGATAATGAAATAAAATAAAGTATTTATTGTGAATAAAGTATTATTCCGAAATTCTTTTTCTTTTTTTATTATATTTGAAAAATATTATTCCCATTTTTTAAAAAGATGAGTAAATGGTAAGAACAAATTAAAATAAATAGGAAAATTCCAAAATAAGCACACAATTTTAGCTACCAAACAAAGCCCACCTATCTCCAACTCCCAGTTTGTTGCCTGTGGCGAAAGTGGGTTTATTGTTGACACGTTGACCCGCCACGTGTCATCTTCACTCTCAAACGTGGGACGAAATGAATTGATCACTTCAAACTAATTCATATAATTTGGACTTCATTATAAATCTATTTGAATTGAATTATATCCAAATAAATAAAAAAATATTCATGTTAATTTTAATTATTTGAAAAATAAAATTTTAAAATATATATTGAAATTGAAGACCGATATTAATTAAATGTTCGAAAAAAAAAAATAGATATTTTATGAATTAAACTTTTACTTTTTATTAAAAATAAAATTTAATAATGATCCCAATCCATCCAAACTAATCCAAAAAAATTATAGATAAATTTGATTGGATTTATTATTTAATAAATATTATTTGGGTTAGAAAAAAATTATCATTTAAAAAATATTTCAATAAAAAAAACTAAATTAAAAAATTATATTTTATTTCAAAAATATCATTAAACTTTCAAAATTATTTTTAAAAAATATTCTTTTTAACTTTTAAATTTATTTGAAAAATAGGTTTGAGTTTTCAAAATTTTCATTAAATACTTTTAAATTTTTTTTTAATTCTTTTTCAAAAGTTTAGTATATTGTTTCAAAAGTACTAATTAATTTTAAAAAATAATATTAAAAAATTTGAAGACAATTTATAAAGTTTCGAGAAGCTGTTTTCATCATCCTTATATTGACGATAAATTTTTTTTTCAACTATTATTATAAAAGTTAAGGAATTAGTATTACTTTTAAAATTTTATGTATATTTTTTTAAACATAATAGTAATAATAATATCAAAGATATTTTTAAATTTTTAAAAGAGACCGAAGAGTATGAAATTTTTTAAAGTTTATTAAAATATTAAGAGTATTTTAATAAAGGTATGTTTATTAATTTACTTCAAAATATATATTATATATATATATTATTTATTTATTTATTTATTTTCTTGGTTATATATATATATATATATATATATATATATATATATATATATATATATTATAGGCGGCATTTCCACAGCCTACTGTGCTGTGATACTGATCCCTGAAAGCTAATAAAAGTCTCTTTCATGAAACTGATCTCTTAGAAGTGACGGCGAGCCAAACAAAGCATTTAGCAGCGAAACAAGCTTCTGTCGAGAAAAGGGTTTTTACAGAGCTTTCTAAGTTTCATCAATGGCGTCGAGGTTGCTTTGGGCTTCAAGAGCTGCTTCATATCTCAGGATCTCAATTCCCTATAGAGGGTTTGCTTCTGGTGAGCCGAATCCACGTTTTTTATGTACTGGTTTTCTTTTTTCTTTCTCAGTTATTGTTAGCCTGATTGTGTGGTAGATGAATATTTAATGTTGGCGAAAGGAAATGAAACTGATCGATCTGCTTTTCACATTGGAAGATCTCAGTTTCCAGCGATGAGTTTTGTTTATATTTTCCGTTTGTTTGATCAGTGGCATGAATTGCTGGATTTGTTTCGTTTTATGTATTTGTCTTGTGAATTATTGAGGTGATTATATAATGAATATCTAGATCTTAGGCAGATGGATGAATATTTGCCATTCTGCATTATGATTTTTTGAATTTTTACTCGATTTATAAATCTTTTCACCTTCCATTTGAATTATGATGTGATGAATCTCAAACATAATATTCGATTCTACTTTCCTTTTTATCGCCTTCCTTTAACTTGTTCATGTGTTCTTATTTCAATCTTGTTATTTGAACTAACGCAAGTGCCTTGGTGACCTTTCTAGCTGCTGATATCCTTAATTATGTAGTTTTCTAGTTTTGATATTAATTTTCCTTCCTGAATTTATTGTTTTCAATAACTTTCTGTTCTTTTTCTATAACAAAAATGTTGTGATAATTTTCATTTCTGGAAGTTTGCACTTCATATTCTTGATATTTGCATCTACTTAACATGCAATGAAAGGGATCGGATGTAGAAGTATAAATTCCATATGAGAAGCAAAAGAGACAACTGTACATTTGCATGATATACATTATATAGCATAGTCTTATGGAAAGGAAAACTGTTTCTCGATTATTCGACGTCTTACAAGCGAGCAAAATTGAGAGTATAATGTTTCGTACTGTCACATGATTGCAATGGAAGTCCAATTTTTGCATTTAAAGTGCATTGCAATGGAACTATGGAATATCTAGCATTCAAGTTTATGTTTAAAACTTCATGTGAAGGGAAATAACTTGTACCTTGAATTTGTGCAGTTGTGAAGGATTTGAAGTATGCCACCTCTCATGAATGGGTGAAAATAGAAGGGGATAAAGCAACTATTGGCATAACTGATCATGCTCAAGATCATTTGGGTGATGTTGTTTATGTTGAATTACCAGAGGTTGGAGCCTCTGTTAAACAGGATGGCAGCTTTGGTGCGGTAGAAAGTGTCAAGGCTACCAGTGATATTAACTCTCCTGTGTCGGGGAAAATCGTTGAGGTCAATGACGAGCTCAGCAGTTCCCCTGGTCTGGTGGGTTCTTCGACCTCATATTCTTACTCATTATTAAGTTTATTTTACTTCTTCTTTGCACTTTTAGATACTTTAAGATGGTTTCTATTTAACGAATGACTCGAGTCGTAGTTTCATTACTTGACATGTCTACGTTGGTGATATAAAGCAGTGTACTAGTAGCTCATACTATGCGAGATCTCTCTCGAAATATCTGGTTAATGTAAATGTGTGAAGGTAGATTTGCTGCTCATTTGAGTCATACCAACTCTTCTTGTATCATGAAAATGTTGTCATTGGAGTTTGCATATTGCATATTCTATATTCTTTGGATTATTCAGCTTTCTTTAGCCATATTCAGGAGCCAACCTGCCAATACCTTTGGACGTTTTCTTAACAATTACTATTTCTTTGATTATCTTCCCCATTGCGTCTACTGAAAACTTTCTAGTCATTTTGTGTGAAATCTCACATTGGTTGGAGAGGGGAACGAGTGCTAGCAAGAACGTTGGGCCTCGAAGGGAGGTAGATTGGGATATCTCACATCGGCGGGAGAGGAGAACGAAACATTCTTTATAAGGGTGAGGAAACCTCTCCCTACCAGACGCGTTTTAAAACTTTGAGGCTGATAGCGATACGTAACGGGTCAAAGTGCACAATATCCGCTAGCGGTGGGCTTGGACTGTTGCACCTTTGTTTGTTCCTTATAATCGGTCCTTTCCTTTGCTGCATATTAATGAAAGTTTAGGACAACTCCTTTGTTTATACAGATTATGTAGATATCATTTTGTTTGTATATGAGTATGAGTATGAGTGATTTGGCTGTTCTTGATGAATATGTTTGTGTTAATAATGTAGGTGAACTCAAGCCCATATGAGAATGGATGGATAATTAAGGTGGAGGTTAGTGACAGTGATGAACTGGGAAGGTTGATGGACTCTGAGCAGTACTCCAAGTTCTGTGAAGAAGAAGATTCAAAGCACTGAGAGTTCATTGAAGATGTCAGCAGCCTTATCAGATCTTCCTTTCTTCTCTTTTTCTTCAGTCTTCTGGATTTCCTTTTCCTTTGTAAGACTCACAAAAATGGTGGAAATTTCCCCACTCAGATAAATAATTTGATCCCTTTGAATCTGCAACTATTGTTATGTTGTGAAAAATCCAGGAAAAGGGGGCCTTTGTTCGAGATGCCTACCGTCTCATTGCTAGACATCAATCGAAATATATTGAAACAAATACAAATAAAAGAACAATTTAAGGGGAAATTTTTCTTAAAACATAAGAACCTCGAGTATGGGTGCTGGTGCCACGTGCCACTGTTGTTTTTCTCTCTTCTAATTTGTTTTATTCTTATTGTAGCCGGTCCTAGGGAATAGAGTAGGTCGTGTATTTTGTTATAAATGAAAGAGGATTCATTTCTAGCCTGTATTTTGGAGAGATTTTACTATTAATCCATTTCCGTTTCCAATTATAACAAAACAAGGTAGTTTTCACAACCGATGGTCTTTTTGGTCTTACTACTGATAAGAACCAAGACATTTCAATCATACCATATCAACTTTAAGGAAAATGAGTTACATTTATTCTTATATGTTACGAGTAGATGATAATTTAGAGTTATAATTTTTCATTAAAGTATTTCATGACATTTTATTTACTTCAAGGTTACATCTATACGGTAGCTAATTATGATCATAATGTGTGAAAGTTACCGCTCTTAAAATATCTCACGGAAAGTCAACTATAGGAGGTCAAATGTTTTCATTTTGAAACTATATAAAGTCATATTATCATCCTAAAGAAATTTGAAAATTTTAGTAAAATAACATTTTTGCTTTAAGCCAATACTAAATTTCTTTCAAATTCTATGTACTTTAAGTTATCAAATTTAACAGGATTGATCTCAGATCAACTTAACATGATTGATCTCGGATTTCTCAAACCCTTTATAATCGTCCAAGCCCACCGCTAATTGTCAGTTTTGGGCCGTTACATATAACCATTATCCTCACGATTTTAAAACACTTCTACTACGGAGAGTTTTTGCTTCGTTCCCCTCTCCAACTAATTTAAGGTCTCACAATCCACCTTTTTTTTGGGTCCAGCGTGCTCGCTGACACACTGATAACATATATTGTCTGCTTTTGTTCGTTATGTATTATCGTCAGTCTCACGGTTTTAAAATGCATTTACTAGAGAGATGTTTCCATGCTCTGATACCATTTGTAATAGCTCAAGCCCACCGCTAACAGATATTGTCCACTTTGACCAGTTACATATCGCCGTCAGACTCAGTTTTAAAACACATCTACTAGAGAGCTCTGACACTATTTGTAATTAGTCAAAACGCATTGCATATATTGTCAACTTTAGCAGGTTACATATCGCCGTCAGACTCACAGTTTTTAAACCATCTACTGAGACAGATTTCTACGCTCTGATACCATTTGTAATAGCTCAAGCCCACCGCTAACAGATATTATCCGCTATGTTACATTATTAGAGACCGGTTTTGATTCATGTAATCTCACAATAACCTAAATAAATCTTTGTACACCATTTGTATGACCAAAACGAGTGAGGGAGAGCTCAGGCATGGATTCCGAGTCCAGACTGGTGTAAGTGGATAAAACCGTCGTCTCTTCTCTTCTCGACGACGCCAACAACCTTATGGAAGTCCCCGCCCGTCTTTCTGCTCCGGCTCCCGTTCCCCGAACTCTTCTGTTCCCTGTAACGGTCAGTCTATTTCTTTCTCTGTTACGGCAAATCTTCTCTGTATATGCATCCGTTCCGTCACTAAGAGTTTCTGGATGTTCTGCAGAAGCTCGGTGGGAGTCAAAGGCTATTTCGGTACGCGAGAAATTCATGGAAGATGAGAAATCTTGTTGTCAGAGCCGGTCCTAAGAGGATTTCTTTTGGTAAAGAATGCAGAGGGGCATTGCTAGCTGGTATTGATAAATTAGCTGATGCTGTTTCTGTCACGTTAGGACCCAAAGGTTTGTGGGCCTTCCTATTCTCTTTAATTCTACTAATTTTCTTGAGCTTGGATATGTCTTGTCTTGTAAAATTCTGTTTAATATTGTATATGCGTGTGTGCGCGTGGGAAGCCAATGTCTAATTCTTAACGTGTTCAATTTATTGGTTAAATTGTGTGCTGGACTTAAAGTGGTGAGTTTATGATGTTGTTTCTGTTAATAAAATTGCTTTGCATTGTATTTCAATTAATCAATCGCTTCTAATTTGAAGAAATTTAGAAGGAAATGTATGAGCCTATGGAAACACAATTTGCTGGAGTTGCAATTTCTGAAATGACTAAAGGAAAAGAGGGGAAAGTTTGACCATTAAAAAATTCTCTGGCGTGTAATTTCATTGGTAATTAGTTATTTATTGTTCAATCTACCCTGTGAATGGTTCAAGAATGATGCATAGTAGCTGTATCTTATCAGTTTTAGATATTTTAGTAGTTTTTTCGCCAAAATGTGCAGGACGCAATGTTATTCTCTCAGAAAAGGAAACGCTTAAAGTGGTTAATGACGGTGTTACAATTGCTAAAGCTATTGAGCTTTCGGATGCAATTGAGAATGCAGGAGTGGTGCTGATCCAAGAGGTTATTCATGGTTGTTGGTTAAAATCTCAATTTTCTAAAACTTGCTTGGGTTGGGTTTAAACATCTAAGATATATATCTTTGAGTTGTTGGCTTTCAGGTTGCTAGTAAAATGAATGACTTGGCTGGAGATGGAACCACCACTGCAATAATTTTGGCACGTGAAATGATCAAATCTGGATTATTGGCAGTTTCCTTTGGAGCTGATCCGGTTTCATTAAAGAAAGGAATGGATACGACTGTAAAGGAGTTAATCGAGGTCTTAAAGAAGAAAAGTACTCCTGTACAAGGAAAAAATGATATTAAAGGTTCTTTCTTCTCATCTGGTTGAACACTGGTGAAGTTTCATTTGGGAAGTAAATGGTGCTGAGCTAGCCTCGTCCTTTCTGCAGCTGTTGCGATGATATCTTCTGGAAATGATGAATATGTGGGGAACTTGATTGCTGAAGCTATAGAAAAGATCGGCCCTGATGGTGTGATTTCAATCGAGTCGTCCAAATCCTCAGAAACTTGTGTAATAATAGAGGAAGGAATGAAGGTAAACGATTTAGCTGCAAAACCGCTCGTGTAGTCTATGTCATGTGCATCTGAAAATCTATATCGTTGTCTCTTCATTTTTCCTTATGGTTCGATTGTATCTCTTTCCACAGATTGATAAAGGTTACATGTCACCTCAGTTTGTTACAAATCAAGATAAGTCTATTGTGGAGTTTGACAATGCAAAAGTCCTAGTAACCGATCAAATAATTTCGACTGTCAAAGAAATCATTCCTTTGTTGGAAAAGACCGTACAACTTAGTCTTCCTCTGCTGATAATTGCAGAGGACATCTCGAGACAAGTTCTAGAAACTCTAGTGCTGAACAAGGTACAGGGTTTAGTTAATGTGGCGGTTGTAAAATGTCCTGGGCTTGGTGAAAGAAAGAAATCTCTATTGCAAGATATTGCACTAATGACAGGTGAACTAAATGCTTTTATGAACTGCTATATGCATGCTTAAATGTTTGTTATTTCAGTGGCACATCTAAGTAATAAAATTTACTCAAGACTTGTATTGCTCTTATACGTTTGCTTCGGGGTTTTGGAAGAGGGGAGGTTTTCTGGTTCAATGACACTATACATCGAATTTTATTTAATTATATTAAACATTATGGTGGTAATGTGAACTTATCATCTTTTATCGATTTTCCGTTCAGATTTTTTTGAGTAGCACTTAAAATGCCCACATATATTCTTAGGTTTTCTGTCAAATCACACATCGGTTGGAGAGGGGAACAAAGCATTCCTTACAAGGGTGTGGAAACCTCTCCTTTGTAGACACGTTTTAAAACTGTGAGGCTGACGACGATACGTAACGGGTCAAAGCGGACAATATTTGCTAACGGTGGGATTGAGCTGTTAGAAATGGTATTAGAGCCAGAGACGGTGTGCAAGCGAGGACGTTGGGCCCCCAAGAGGTGTGATTGTGAGATCCCACATCGGTTGAAGAGGGGAACGAACCATTCCTTATAAGAGTGTGGAAACCTCTCCCTAGTAGACGCGTTTTAAAACTGTGAGGCTGACGATGATACGTAACGGGCCAAAGCAGATAATATTTACTAGTGGTGGGCTTGGGCTGTTACTCTTTCCGTTCATTGCTTGTATTGCATTTTGCCCTGAAGTTGTATAGCACACCTTTGTGTCAGTTTTCATGGTTACTGGAAAGATCCTAGAGTATTTTTGGGACGTGTCCAACTTTTCACAAAGCTTCAAAGCTATACCATGAATGTTTGAGATGGTAGAAACTCTATTTAAATCTTTCAGGTTTATTTTTCAGAGTGCAAATTGAGACCTCAATATAGGTATTTTGGTGCTATTATTTCTATTCTTCTTCTGCCCTCGATAAGCTTTATAGTAAGCCGTTTTTTTTTCCTGTCCGAGCAATCATCATCCTTGCCTCCCATGTTATGTTAAACTTGTTAAAGTAATGATATAACTAAATTCACAATAACCCATCTGCTTAAGCTTTTGGATTTAGTGATGATTTAACATAGTATTACAGAATGATGTTATGACTATCTGATTATGTTACGATACGATATTAGATAGTTGACTTTATTTTAAAATCGTCAGGTGCTGATTTTCTCTCTGGAGATTTGGGTCTAGGACTCGAGGGTGCAACATCAGACCAGCTTGGAATTGCTAGGAAAGTAGTTATAACATCTAATTCAACTACAATAGTTGCAGATCCCTCTACTAAAGCTGAAATTCAAGCAAGAATTTCACAGATTAAGAAGGATCTTGTTGAAACAGATAATTCCTACCTCTCGAGAAAACTTTCGGAGAGGATTGCTAAGCTTTCTGGTGGAGTTGCTGTCATCAAGGTTTGTGGTTTAAAACTATGGTTGGAGGTGCAGCTTTTATGAGAATTTTCACCATTTATTTGACTAGATGATTTTCCTGTAATGTGTCATATGCTGGTCCTGACTAACTGAAATTTTTTTCCTACCCTTATTAGCTATGGACACCATGGCGATGGGTTTAGTTCTTCCTCGTCGTATTAACTGAAAGCAGATTACCTTTTAGTGCAGTATTTAAATGGAAGTTGGAAGTTGGAAGTATCTTATGTATCAAAGGGAGAGACCCTTCAAAGGCCAAGGTTTAGAAAAACACTTTTCAATTGAATATAGGGGGTTATTGCAAAAAGAATCACTCCATGATGAGACCACAAAAACAACCGTTTCTTGAAGATCCTTCCTCGTCGCCTTCTTCTCCTTGGAAGATGTAATAGCCCAAGCTCACCGCTAGCAGATATTATCCACTTTAGCCTGTTACGTATCGTTATCAGCCTCACGATTTTTAAAACGTGTTTGCGAAGGAGAGGTTTCCACACCCTTATAAAGAATGTTTCGTTCTCCTCTCCAACCGATGTGGGATCTCACAATCCACCCCTCTTGGGGGCCAGCGTCCTCGCTGGCACACCGTTCGGTATTTGACTTTGATATCATTTATATATTGTCCGCTTTAATTCGTTACGTATCGCCATCAGCCTCACGGTTTTTAAAACGTTTCTGCTAGGGAGAGGTTTCCACACCCTTATAAGGAATGTTTCGTTCTCCTCTCTAACCGACGTGGGATCTCACAAAAGACTCTTGCACTCCTTTTTTCGAGTGAACTTTCCTAAGGAGAGCCCTTATTCCATCAAACAAAAGGATTTTTGCCTTACGACTGAAAATTTGGCGGACCCAATGAGATGCTGGGTGGGATTGAAGGTCTAGATCAAAAGTTTCAAGTAAATCTCCACCATAGTTTCAAGGTGAATGGAACACTTAGAAGGAGACAGGCGACATCCTCGCTGCCAGTCTTGGAGATGGCACAACAAGAAGGAGATTCTCATCTATTTAGGTTCCTTTCTTGAGATTTTATCCCAAGTGTTTAAACTCTCGAGAAACATGGTCGAGAAGAAAGCATTGCACATCTTAGGGTAGGTAGCCTTCCAAATAGCCTCCGAGAACTGAAAGTTGAATGCTTCTTGTTCCTTCGTGAGCATGTTAAAAGGGGTCCAAGACATTTGAAGAGAAGGAACATGAAGAACCACAAAGAGCCGATTTTCTTCTTGTTGTATTGCAGCATGTGCTCCTCCTTGCTCCTGAGTTTCCTTACAGAACCTCTCGATGTGCCCGATTAAATGACACCTCCTACACGTCACATCTGGCTCTCTCTAGCTTCTAAAGTTTGGATGATTCTGCTTCCCACAGTGCCTTGTTAGCAATCCTAATCAACTTGTCTGAGTATTCGTTAATGGACTCAGAAACATTCATGTGCATTCTCTTGAATTCCCTCACCAAGTTCAACATTTTCATGTTTTTAATCCTTTCATTTCCTTCATACTCACCTTTGAAGAATTCCCAGATCTTCTTTGCTGACTTCAAGGCCATAATTTTCTTGAATATGATATGAAACACAGCTAAATATAGGCAGGCTCTAGCCTTTACTTTCTTGTGACCCTATCCTTGCAAGTCTTGATCTGGTTCATTGTTGTGTTATTTTCTTTATGAACAGTACAACATCCAAGGAGTTAAATATTTTCTTCTGCTTCTTTTTTATTGTATGTGCTAATGTGGTCAAAGCAGGTGGGAGCACATACTGAGGTGGAACTTGAAGACAGGAAACTCAGAATTGAGGATGCAAAGAATGCGGTATTTGCTGCCATGAATGAAGGCATTGTTCCTGGCGGAGGTGCTACCTATGTTCATCTCTCTGAATTTCTTCCTACCATAAAACATTCAATGGAAGATCGAGACGAGCAGATCGGTGCCGATATTGTGGGCAAGGTATTGTGGATACCCCTTTTCTCTGCCTTTGTTTCCGCCTCTCTTCATTCTTTAGTGGAAATCGAACTGCTATTATCTTAATACCTCTTTGATATGGTGAAATGGAATGCTTAGACTTGGATGCTAGTGTTCTTGGTAGATAATCTAAGTATTCTATTATGAAGAAGATGAATATTGCAACATATTGCAGGCACTTCTTGCACCAACAAAATTCATTGCAAGTAACGCAGGCGTTGACGGAGTAGTTGTTGTGGAGAAAACTCGAGCCTGCCATTGGCGACATGGGTATAACGCAATGGCAGACAGGTATGAAGATCTTATTAATGCTGGTGTATTAGATCCTTGCCTTGTTTCAAGATGTGCACTTCAGATTGCAGCCTCAGTTGCTGGGATCATTTTAACGACTCAAGCCATAATGGTGGACAAAATAAAGAAACCAAAGCCACCCGTTCCTCATGTTCCTGGAATATCTCCATGAACGCAAAGAAAAGAAAAATAGACGTCCCGGGAGTTGACATGAAAACACGAGAGATCCGCCATGGCTTCTCTGCTAAGCTTCTGAGCTTGAGTTGAATAAGGTAAAGGTTTAAGTAGCTTTCATGTTGTTATGAAGCATTAGATTAGGGAAAGCTCCCATTTTCACCTGTGGCTGATAATATGATGAAGGAATTTAACTTATAGGAACTGGGTTTAGCTCGTCTAGTTTTCATCTGCTCGTTCTTGCAAGAAAATACTGATAGCAGAAAAGTTTGCCCCTGTTTTCTTATTACCACAGTTTTGGTATTGTTATTAGGGTTTCTCTGTTGTAAAATATCAACATTTTGTAACGACAGTTCCATTATCTTTCATGTCCGTAGAAATGTGAGCATCTGGTCGTTCTGGGCCAAAATGGATATCCATTTTGGAATTGCTTTGTAATTAAAGGGTTCCTATTATGGAGTGAATCTATTTTAGAGTTTTGCAAATAGGGACCCAATTTGGGTTGTTTTGAAAGTTCATAAACTTAGAAGGAATGCCGAACATGTGATGCAATAGTCCCAGCCTATTGTTAGCTGATATTGTCCCTGATGTTAGATATTGTCTTCTTTGGACTTTTTCTTCTGGCTTTCTAAGGTTTTAAAATGCATCTACTAGGGAGAGGTTTTCATACCCTTAAATAAAATGTTTCGTTCTCCTCTCCAACCAATGTAGGATCTCAATCCACCTTCTTTTGGGGTCGAGCGTTCTCGTTGGCACTCATTCTCCTCTCCAATTGATGTGGGATCTCACCATCTATCCCCTTCAAGGCCTAGTGTTCTTGTTGGCACACTGCTCGGTATCTAGCTTTGATACCATTTATAATCGTTCAAGTCTATTGCTAGCCGATATTGTTCTATTTGGGCTTTCCCTTCTGGACTTTCCTTCAAGGTTTTAAAACGCGTTTGTTAGGGAGAAATTTTCACTCTTATAAAAAATGCTTCATTTCCGGTTGAACACAACTCTTTGTGGGAAACACTCACACTCTTTATTAAGACCAATCGAGAAGAGAATACAAGACTATGTGTAGAATACTTTTTGGATTTCTTGGATGAATAACCTAGGTAGGGTGGATGTGTATTTATACTGAAGCCTACGCAATCTAACCTAACAAATCTAGATCTAAATCTAACCAATCTGAATCTTTTTCCTAAAATACCTAGTTCTCTTCTCCTAAAAGGAGATTTTTCCTAAAATCTCTACTAAAATAAATATACAATGGGCTCGTACAATTATTGGGCTAGTGATGATATTTTAACACTCCCTCTCAGCACTAGTTCTCATTCGCTGCACCATGTTGAGTTGACAGCAAAAACTCTCATGTTTGCCAATATTCAGCCCTTTTGTAAAGTCTGCCACTTGGTCATCTGTCTTGATTTGCTGCATCTCGATTTCTTCCTTCAAGACTTTCTCTCTAATGAAATGGTAGTGTACCTCCACATGATTTGTTCTAACATAAAACACCGAATTTTCTGCTAGGCGAATCGCAGATTGATTGTTGCAATGAAGTGGTATTGGATACTCAATTTTCTGGTGCCAATCTTCCATCAAAAGTTTTAACCATGTATTTTCCTGAGCTGTTCCAGCTGCTGCTCTGTACTCTACTTCTTTAGTTGACAATGATATTGTTGGTTGTCTTTTGTTACATCAAAAAATTATTCTCGAACCGAGCTTGAACGCATACCCAGTGATTGATCTTCGAGTAACGTGGTCTCCTGTATAGTCGACATCACTATATTCAGCTAGCTTCCAGTCTTCGCTTCTTTTGTATAAACGATTGTAATTGATTGTACCTTTGACATATCTTAAGGTCCGTCGAGCTGCATCCAAATGAGGCTTCTTCGGATTTTGCATATTGATCGACTCCAACTTCATTTTCGAATTTCTTCGGTTGGTCCATGTAGAGCTCTCTGTTTAACTCTCCATGCAAGAAAGCATTATTCATATCAATCTTCTATAATTTCCAATCTTTATTTACCGTAAGTACGGGAGGAACTTGTACGATAATGATCTTTGTCATTGGACTAAACGTTTCATCATAGTCTAGTCCATATTCTTGAGAGAACCCTGAATCTATAGTCTGAGCTTTGTATCTCACGATTGATCCATCCGAGGTACACATTATTTCGTAAGCCCACTTGTAAGATATGAGTTTGGTATCTTTTGGTCTTGGCACTAATTCCCAAGTTTGATTTTGTTCCAGGGCTATAGTTTCTTCCTCTATCGCTTTCTGCCCAGCTGAGTTTTGTGATGCTTCTTCATATGTCTCCGGCTCATTAACTTCGTCTTCTACTGCATTGGCATACTCTGGATTTGCCTTTAGGATTATTTCTGAATGTCTGAGTTGTTGAGGTGTCATTTCATTTTCACTAGGCTCGCTTGGTTGAGTCACTTCTTGCTCGCCAACACTAGTGTCACTTGAATCTTCAGGCACATCAGCACTAAAGCAAATGTGTACAATTAATTTGCTCCCCCGTCTTTTGTGGAAGAATCTCTTCAGTTTGCTCCTTTGTGTTTTGTAAAAGAATTTCTTCCGTTTGCTCAAGACCTGGTAATTCTTCCTTCTCTTTGGCCACCCCTCTTCCATTGTACCGCTTTGATCGTCAATCATGTGGTTTAAGCATCTTGAATCAATGATCCAGTCATCTTCGTAATAGATATGCTCTTCCATCATTGTCATGAGTGCTAGCTCGTCTTCTACTATTGGACATAGTACCTCTGCATCTCATTCATCCTCTATCTTCTTTTTGGATATTGTCATATTGCTTTCAACCGACTTTTTCCTGGACTTAACAATATCTAGACATGTGGCCCTTTTTCTCGCAATTATAGCTAATACCTTTAAATCTCTTTCCTTGGGAACTCTTGTTGTCGTTCTTCTGAGCTCTCTCGGGTTGTGAAGTTCCTTTGTGACTTCTTCTTTTGTCACCATTGTATTCACGTTTGGTAGACGACCTATTATTGCTCCGACTTTCACTTGTGTAGAGTGTTTCTTCTTCACCCTTCAATGTGATAGCCTCCCATTTGTTTAGCCATGACTTCTTGGCTGGCTAACAAATTTTCGAACTCTACAAGTGATGGTTGAGTGGGCCATCCTTGTACAGCAGTAATAAAACTTCTATATTCCGGTCGCAATCTGTGGATTATTATCCTCTTCATTCGAGATTCTACAATGGCGGACTTCGGGTCTAGTTCAGTAATCTCCCGACAAATCGACTTGACCTTGTGGAAGTACTGAGCAATCGTCATGTCACGTTGTGAAATTGACAACAACTCATTCTCCAGAAGTTGTAGCCTTGTATCGTTCTTCTTTGAGAACATCACGAATGTGTCCCATGCCCTTTTCGGTGTCTTGTCATCCCAAATATGTTCTAACATCTCTTCTCCGATTGTGGTCTTCAAGGCAAACATTGCTTTGCCTGCTTTGATTCTCCATTTACGCAAGGCGCCATTAGAATCCTCCTCTGGCGGCATAGTTTCACACCCGCCAACGATCTCCCAAAGATCTTGCCCTTGTAAATAGGACATCATGCATGTTGCCCACGTGTTGTAGTTGTAGTTGTTGTTGTTGAGTTTCTTGATTCCTCGAACGTTTTGGAAATCACCTATCATGTTGGCCATACCTTAGTAATACCAAACAAGCTCTTTCAACACAAGACTTGCAGAGTCACAGACTACTCACGACACAAAAGAAACTCACTCACTACTAATCTCAAGAAATCGTTTATGATGTGGAAGATCAGATAGAGCTGCAACCACAGAGCATACTAAGAATTCCAAGAGATCAGATAACATATACTAACCATGCTCTGATACCAATTGTTAAACACAACTCTCTGTGGGAAACACTCGCACTCTTTATTAAGATCAATCGAGAAGAGAATACAAGACACTGTGCATAATACTTTTTGAATTTCTTGGATGAATAACCTAGGTAGGGTGGAGGTGTATTTAATCTAAATCTAGACCTAACAAATCTAAATCTAACAAATCCAATCTAAATCTAATAAATCTGAATCTTTTTCCTAAAATATCTAGATCTCTTCTCTCAGATATTTTTCCTAAAATCTCTACTAAAATAGATATGCTTTGTACAATTATTGGGCTAGTGATTATATTTCAACATTTCCCTCTTCAACCTACGTGGGATCTCACAATCTACCCTCCCATTTGGGTCCCAGTGTCCTCGCTAGCACTCGTTTCTCTCTCTAATCGATGTGAGATCTCACCATCTACCTCCCTTCAGGGCCCAACATCCTCGCTAACACACTGACCGATATATGACTCTGATTCCATTTGTAATAACCGAAGCCCACTGCTAACAGATGTTGTCCTCTTTCGGTTTTCCCTTCCGAACTTTCCTTCAAGGTTTTAAAACACATTTGCTAGAGAGAGGTTTCCACACTCTTACAAAGAATGTTTGGTTCCTCCTTCCATCCGATGTGGGATATCACATTTTAGAAGTACGTTAAGATACTAGAATCCGTTAATCGAGTGAGCTGTTTTTAGTTCTTCTGCAGTTCATTGCTGAAGCAAACAGTAAGATTTACAAATGCAGTAGCAGATCATGAGAAGATAAAGACTGAAAGTGTTGTACCAACCTGCATTAGAAAACGATAGCTGCAGCTGCTTTAAGTAAAGTGTAATACAGGTTGCCTTCTGCCTATTTTAAGACAAAAAGTTAGGAAATAAATACGCATTTATGGTAGCTCAATGTGAAAGAGAATTAAGATAGGTTTAGAAACTGTGTTTCAAAGTATGTTTTTTTTCATTTTTTTAGAATAAAAAATTATGTGTTTTACTAAGATACGATGAGTTGCCCTCGTGGTCAATAAGCATCATGCAACTTATAAACTCGGAGGAAATGAGTTAAAGCTAGGATGATCGTTTAGCTAAGATTTAATATCCAACGAGCTCTCTCGAATGTAGTAGAGTTGATTATTACACTTATAGATGTAAAACATACGTATTTGAATGAATTTTTCTTATTTTTTACCCATTTTCTTTCATAAATTTAAACAAATAAAGTTAATCGTTTGAGAATCATGAATTTGTGAACCGTAATTCAAGTATTTACAATAATATTAACTTGAGATGTTATCTTTTTTGTTTCCAAAGTTCAGACAATGTTAATTTCATTAAGGGCGTTCGAATGACTCGAGAACCCAACCAACCAGGATTACACAATCCAAATCATAAGGTTGGGTTAAGTTAAATTTCTTGAAAATGGAAAGATTCAAGTCAGTTTGTAGGTCGACATTTCTTTGGTTGAGCCAACCCAATCAACCGGAAAATAACGTTACAAACCAATTCTAGTATACTTGTTTGATGTTTGTAATCAATATTAGTAATGAATATCTATCGTGAATAAGT